ACCTGTCTTCTCCCCTCAGGCTCTAATAGGACACGATAAGCATCTACTACCCATTGGAATGAATCTCTCTAGATGTCCTTCTGGATCCTCCCCCAACCCCCCTTCGCCCAGTATTACGTCTACTGCTGCTCCTTCTGTCCTGACCACGATAAGGTCTCCCTTCATTGCCTCCTGTAGTAATACTACTCCTGGATTTAAGCTTTGTTCCATAGGGCGCAAAAACCAAATAACTGCAACGATTATCGGAAAACTTATCCCGAACGTTTTCGCGCGGCCTTCGCAAGGAAAAGCTAGGCTTACAACGGGTCGAACACCATGTCTAGCACAGGTAAGATGTGAGAATACCGTCCACTCCTTAGACACCGAGTATTGAATCAGAACTACTTTAAACTCTCTATAGGCTCCCATCGAGAAACGACAAAGCCCGAGTTAGAGAACGCTGAAGGGATGTCGTACGATACCAATAACAGCGGTCGTAATGTCTCGGAAGGAAAACAACAGTCAGATGACGTGCTGGGCTTTAACGATGTAACCCATAGTGAACTAAACACTGATGAACACTCCATAAAGAACCCAATGGATGAGAATACACGAGAAGAAGTCACGAGTGAGGAAGCTAACGCTAGAGACATCATCAAGGAGCTTGATGAGCTTATGGAGGGTTACCTACATCGGCTAGGGATCAATGATAACATTAATCAACTACCACTACAGTGGCGAGGTAACTTACGCTTGAGTAGACCTCATCTCTATAGTGCTTCAGATATGCCGGGTAATGAGAGTATAGGAAACCTACACGAAGCTGAACACATTTTGCGACGATGCATGAAAATGAAGATGGTCATCATCAACCACCGAATGGCAATGATCTAATTGTTCGCCATTGTTCAGGGAATCAACAGTGACGACTATGATCAGGGGGTAGACTTCGAGCGGCAATACTACAGGAAGAGTGCACGAACCAGTGGTGATGAGCAAACTCAGTCGGAATTCGGAAAACTAGCAGACAAGTTGGAACGTGGGATTCGGAGAAGCATGAAGAAAGTCGCTCAGAAGAATGTATACAGGAGCTATGTTGATCATTGCCTACGGACGACTTGATCACTGTAAAGGAAGTGAACTGTTGCGTTATCAGATCGTTGCAAGGGTATAATATATATTCCATAGTCTAAGCCCGCACTACACTCAGAACAGCTTTGACAGGAGACTGTACTTATAACCAACTGTCATATACGGGCAATAATGTGAGTACCCGGTAAGTACAAGCAGTCTAGTACATCAATCACACAAGGACAACAACTAACGCAAGCTTCGATAACAATAGGAGTGAGCGCAAGTTACATTTCAGCTGTACGAGAGGGTACTAACAAGATATTAGGGTAGACCAACGGATTCAATGGTATACCAGGGAAGGCTGTGATGATGATGATCATGAACATCAACTTCCAGGATGGAGAATGTCGGTATAGATGATTCCATAGAGGCATATAGGGACCAATACAAGGCCAATGACGAAGATTGCAGCAGATAAATACCACCTAACTCGTCCTTCTGATTCGATATCATTACGAGTAAGCATACAATAGAGATAACATGGCATAATGAAACTCGTACAATCACCACCAATAAGGCCCAACAGTGAGAAGGTCACTCCGAGAGAATTCACGAAGATAGCCACCACGAGACTGATCAGTACTATACACACAGTAAGAATGACCCTCAGCTTCAGCTCAGCCGCAGGCTTCAATTCACGCCCTCGTGTTAGCAGGACTGTGAGAGACCTCCGACAAGGGAACACTTGTAATGGGAAAGAGCATACTTCCGATACTGCTAGAGCCACATATCCAATTTGTACAGGAATATAGTTAACACTAAGGTTCTGTAAACTAAGAGCTTCGACGTCGTAGCCAAAAGTTATGTAGGGAAACACCATTGCCGGTATGAAGATAACTATGGCTGTAGAAATAGCGGCGGTTGAAACTATGTCCACACGCTTTTGTGTTCGATTCTTAAGATCATCAGTAACAAGGAAAGCATTCATATGACATCCGAAGGACATGATAATGATAGGTAGAACACCCATTACCGTCCAGAAGTTAGCTGGAGGCCAAACTGTTGTGTTCTCATCGGTCTTAGAGCAATCACAGTAAACAATTCCTAGAATGACAACGTAGACCAGACTGATAAGGCCAACCATGTTGACAATGGCCGTATTGCCTGCTGACCGCCAGAAACAAACAGGCGATACAATTGCCACACATATCAAAATGAGAATCGCTCGTGTAGCAAAGAACCAATAGTTTCTGGTATGATAGTATCCATCGGGATATGAGGGTTCAAGCATATTACCAACAACCTGTAATAAACTATACATACTCCAATACTCGTAATGACTAAAA